GTCGCCCGAGTATTGGCGGCCATCTGTCCGACCGATATTATGGGTCGCGATGTCATACGCGTAGGCTTTGATCCATTCATCACTTTAGTCGGCGAACCATTGTTTAATGACATCGGAGGCGGGAATGTAGCCAATGGTTTGGTTGAATAGTTCCACTTCGGCAACGATGCAGAACTCATAGTCTTCGATAAGAGTTTGTTGGAAGCAGTAGTGGTCACCCGAACGGGTCCTTTGTTCCGCTCATTGAATCCATTGTTGTGATCGGCTATCAGTTTATTTTGGGAAACAGTTTTTGTCATCGGTTTGTTGGCCGCCGAAGAACACGCGGCTGATGGCACAGGCTTTGGAATCTTAAGAGGTTTTGCTTCGTGAGTCGATTCATTCACTTGTGGTTTGTGTCGGGTCGGCACCACATCCTCGGCGTTTAGCCAACGGAAAACATGAGCATTATTTGAACTTTGGTTCACCAATGGTTTGGTCACAACTTGTAGGACCTCTTCTTCAAACACGTCGTCTTCTAATTGCATTTCTTCGTTGATTTTACGCTGTATTTGATATCTAGCCTTTGGTTTAACACTAGAACTCAAATGGTATTTATTTGTGATTCCTATCCAAGAATTTGAAGCACAACTATCAGTTGAGTTGATTCCCGACTCTAAATCTATATTAACTTCGGGTTCAATCTGTGCTTCAGTTTCGGGTACAAAATTCAGATCCACGTCTGGTTTACTTTCTACTTCATCCTCAGGTTCAGCTACTGATCCGCCATCGGATCCAAATTCGGATTCAATCTCTTGTTCAGCAACGGCTTCAGTTTCGTGTGGAAGGATTGACTCAGTTTCGACCTCTGGTTCAAATTGGGTCATCAGCTTTGATTCCAAATCAGATTTAAACTCGGATTCAATCTGAGGCTCGAAATCAGATTCGGGTATAATCTGTGGTTCAAATTGAGGCTCGAGTTCAGATTCGGGCTCAGCATTAGCTGACACTTCCACTTCTGGTTCGAGTGAGACTTCAATTTCGGGTATAATCTCTGATTCGACCTCTTCTTTAACTTCGGGTTTAAATTTTAGTTCGACTTCTGTTTCAAATTCTGTGTTGAATTCGGGTATATTTTCTGATTCTACCTCTTCTTCGACTTCTAGTTCGATCTCTGGCTTAACTTCTGATTCGACCTCCTCTTTGACTTCTGGTTCAACTCCTAGTTCTACTTCCGCTTCAAATACTGATTCTTCTTCTGGTTCTAATTCTGGTTCAACCTCTTCTTTGACTTCTGGTTCGACTTCTAATTCGACCTCTTCTTTGACTTCTGGTTCAACTTCTGGTTCGACGTCTGCTTCAAATTCTGGTTCGACTTCTGCTTCAAATTCTGGTTCGACTTCTGCTTCAAATTCTGGTTCTACTTCTGGTTCGACATCTCTTTCTATTTGTGTTTCAAATTCTATGATAATCTTTGATTCGACCTCAGGTTCGGTCTGAGGCTCAGATTGGGGTATAGTCTGTGGTTCAAACTGAGATTTGAGTTCAGATTCGAGCTCAGGATTGGCTTCAATTTCTGGCTCAAACTCTTGTTCAACATCGGGTTGAGTGACCGTCCAATCGTCCAAATGATCCAAACCATAGGT